GGTACGTTTTGGGTCGCTATTAATGTACTATATAGCATAGACGACTAGTAAGTAGTTATTTAGTAGAGCCCTTAGTGCGTTTCGTTAGTTAAGCTTACAGTTACGGATATAGTCGTTATATTGCTTTCGACTAGAGCCGTTAAACACGGTACAGTCCTTAAGTTTAGCATCCTTCTTCTAGACTAGGACTAATAGTAAGGAAGGCCCTACTATCGGCTTAGTGTTAGTTGTTAGGGCCTCCTAAAGGCGGCGAATTTCGAGGAGGTTATCCTTTAGCTATTGTTCTTAACGGAGAGCAGCGAGCCTGTTTTAGGTAGCTTCTTAAAGTCTCGCTACTAGCTAGGGGCTAAAGGCTAGTTAGCTATATCGTCGATTAATAATATTGTTAAGAATGTCGTTAATAGGCAACTCTAGGTCGTTACCTAGAATTATAGGTTCTTCGGCAGGCCTAGTAGCAGGGCTCTTTAGCAGGTACTTTAGCAGGTGCTTTAGTAGGCACTTTAGTAGGTACTATGCTACTAGCATTGTCGTTGCTAGCGCTACTAGCGGCAGCACGGTTATTGTTTCGTAATAAGCCGGCTATTGTAAGGGGTAATACCGATAATGTATTATTAGCCCCTAAGATACGGATGTAGCGGAATTAGTAGATATCGGTCTAGTATACTTAACTTAGTATAATAGGCCGTATAGAAGGCCTTACTTAATAATTGGTACGGTTGCTTCGATAGAATAGTACGTATAGGTTCCGTTCTTCGGGCGCAATATAGTTAGATTAGTCTTGTTCGTAGCTATACCGCTAAAAGCTTAAAATAAGGACTATCTAGCTACTACCCTTAAAGGGTAGATCGAATACTATATAAGAAGGGTATATTAGCAGGTAGATAGGGTAGTAGTAGGTATAGGTAGTATTCGATAAGGAGCTAGGAGGAGAGGGAGGAAGGTAGGCAAGTTAGCCTATTACCAAGCGCCAAGCCCTGCCTAAGGCACTAAGACCCTAGCTTTACTTGGCCTAGTTACATGCCAATTACGTATAGCCTCTTTAGCCCTAACAACGCCTACTATACGTAACGATCTACTAGACTTCTTAACGATAAGAAGTATATACTAGCTCGAAGAACTATAGATAATACTACTAGAAAACTATTAGGAATAGGTCTCTTAGTTAACGATTAGTCGCTGTCTTAGTAGCAGCGACTTTACGTACAAACAACTGTCTCGTACGGCTTTATAAAGAGACCCTATAGCAAGGGCACTATTTAAAGCTAAATTATAGAGCTTTATAGCCTTCTAACTTGTATGCCTTAACGAGTCTTATACTAGCGATAAGATAGCACTTCGAAGAAGAGGTTAGGCTCCGAAGGGCATGCTAGCAAGAGATGTCTAGCATCTATATTATTCGCAACGATATACGATCCTTCCGGTATATACGATTAACGGTTATCTTCCGGAGCTATTAATACAATAAGGCAGTATAAATAGCGAGGATTTCATAGCATTCGTACGCTTTCGAGTGTTGCTACGGTATATACCTTATCTAGGTCTAAGATTAGTTATATTGCTAGACAACTGCAGTACTTATTTAAGAGCCCTTCTTAAGGATATATGCTTAGCTGTAGGCGTCTATCTACTGTTTCTTCTACTATATTTACCTAACTATAATACTATAGAATTGAGCTTTAAACACCTAAAGCATTGGATTAAGAAGCACTAGCAGACAATGCCTAAGTATAGATTACCTTACTAGTAGGCAGACTTCTAGGTATACCTAGAACTAGCATATAAGCGTTAGGGCGATAATATTAATTACTTAGCGTAGTTCAAACACTGCAAGGTGCTCGAGAAGCCGTATAAATATAGTCCAATTAGTCTAGTAATGTCGGTAGAGATATAGAATAATGCGTAGTAATAGCGGTATATATCGAATTTCGGATCTATTCTATACGAGAGCGCTAAGACCTTCTATACTATAGTAAATTAATGCAATATTGCTCTTCCGAAGAACTTCTAATAGTCGTTAGTTACGTCGTTGCTATAAGAAGTTATTAGATCGTCTCTTAGCATTACCTCCGGAAGGCCGCAATCTCTAAGCTTAGTATATCGGAGCAAGCTTTAGAATATCCGACGTTTAGCTAAATGCGACATACTACTATAACAATACTACAATATTAATATTCTAATTGCCGGAAGTTCGAGAATAGGCGCGGCGCCTACTAATAAAAAAACAACGACGTTAATCGGGTATATAGTTATAGTGCAATCTATAGTTAAAGAAAATTAGTATTATCGGCTAAGCTTAAAAGCTGCGGAGAAAGTAGAGGTACGACTTAGAGCGACAAATATAAAGTTAAGCATATAGTAAGCAAAGATTCAACACCTATCTAACGCTAGAACTTAACTATACTACGACTAAATTAATTCATTTAAAGCACGCGATCTATTAGCAGTATTACCCCTTGTACCTCTAAGTTATAGAACAAAAATTGGTTAGGTAGTTGTATTGTTCTATATAGCTAGGGTTAGCAAATCCACTAAGTTAGTATATCGGCTTTATATACCTTAATTCTGTCTACTTTAGCGTATTATAGCATAGTCTATAACTAACTCTCGAAGCGCCGTTCTTATGCTAAACGTAGGCACGTCTTTAACTAGCTTATTCTTATTCTCTTAGCGTCTTATCTGTCTTAGGTTCTAGGCATTATCTATAACAGCTTTAGTAATAGTGTCCTACTTATCTTTCTATATAGGATGCCGGTTGAAGAACTAGACTAAGAAGAGAGATATCTCTACGTAGTTACTTAATATCGTACTAATATCCGGTAGCACTAGCGAGCTGCGCTATTGCGGTATAGGTTGTTATTGTTGCTAAGGTTAAAGAGCGCTTAGTATAGCAGGGTTTGCTATTATTATCTGCATTATAAGAGGGTTAAACTACTGCTACTATTGTTACTGTTGCTATTAATGTAGCAGTGCTATAAGCAGTACAGAAGTGTCGCTATTACTGCTAGTTGCCGGTTGCTAGCGCTTAGCAGTAAGAGCGCTAATAAGACTATCGATAGTCGACTGTTGCTAAGCGCTCTTATTCTTAGCAGAAGCGGCTGCCTTTAACTAAATATACTTATCGTAAGAAGCTATTATCTTGTTAGCAATTTCTATAGGTATATAATATAGCAAGGCCTTATTAATCTGCGCTATATTAGAGTATTCTTTAGCCTATGTACCTATTACACTATAGTAGATGCCGCGTCGTACGTAGCAGCCAATTCTACGGCCTAACTTCTTGTTATTATACTATAGATCGTTACAGTTAAACTGCTTAAGAACAGTAGCGAATACCTCGTTATCGTCGCGGCTCTCTTCCTTCGTCTTATTATTAGTATTCTTCCGGCTATTCTTAACTTAAGAAGCAGGTATAGGTAGCTCTACTAGATTACTATCTATCTTAATAAACTGATTACTATCTAGTAGCGTTGTCGGCCTCTTCTTGTTACTAACGCGCTTGTAACTCTTAAGGACCTCAATTACGTAGTAAATACTAAAGTTATAGCAGTAGCGTAAGAACTTAGCTACGTCGCGATAATAGTCGTCTTCTTCGATAATTATACTAAGGACCTTCGAGCGCTTTAGTATAGAAGGCCGTAAGCAATAGATAGTAAACACACGGTCTAGCAGTTATTGTAAGCCTAGTTCTTTAATAAATACGTACGAAGCTACTCGCTCTTTAATCTTCCGTAATAACTATACAAACTTATTGTCCGCTAGTCTCGAAAATGCTAGATTAATATTATCTTCTTCTAGCACTTCGTTAATAGTTATAAGATTGTGCTGTTTGCTATCTATTCGATACTAAACAATCTAAGTTATATCTGCGCTAAAGGGCTTCTTATTACTTCGTAGCTTCGGCGTTAGTTATAGTATTAGTCGTTACGCGGGCGTACGCGAAGTTAGCCGGCGTTGCGAGCTAGCTTCTAACTGCGATTTCTTAATAACGCTATTAGATATCGATATAGTCTAAACGGGAGGTTTATCGGACAGGTCGGCGCGATTATTCTACCGTTTAGATAATGTTCTACGCGCCTTGTTTCGTAGTGTTATACCCTCCGTCGATTTACGCTTCTACGTAGAAGCTAGCTTCGCGCCTATAGCTAATACCTCCGAGATTTCCGGCTCTTACTTAATGCTCTATCGTATACTACTCTAGCTCTTCTTAGCGGGCATACGAGTTCCGCGAGGGCGTGCTTTTAGTAAGGGCTTTAGTATGTTTATTAGTTTCGGCGAACGTATCTTCCTACGGGCAGAGGCCTTAGTAGTAATAGGAGGAGGAGGTTCTTAGAAAGGCCTTTCTAGGTTAGGAGGCATAGTTTCCGCTATACCCTTCGATCTCGTACGTATTATAGGCTCTTCGTTACTTATCTCTTTGCCTAGCAATCTATTCTCTTTGTCTTCGTCGTCGTTATCGTAGTTATTATTATATAAAGAACGAAGGAATTAGCTAAATCGTACGCCGTCGTCTTATATAGATAGGTTATTAAAGACTTCTTAAGTATATAGACTAAAGACTTCTTAACAATAGACTTGTTTATTAAAAGGAATAGTATTAGGTAGATACTATGTATATTGCTATAGAGACTCGTACTAGAAATCGGGTGTTTGTATATACTAGGGCGGTTTAGGTAGCTACGAAGAACCTACGGGCGGGCTACTAGGTATACTATTAGATTCTATAGTAATACTGTCTCTACTATTAGACTAAGTCTTAGGGATAATATTATAATGCATTCTACGCGAAAATCGCGTGTCTAAACATATAATAATGATGTTGTTGTATAGAGTTCTATATGGGTACGTAGTCCCTAATCCTAGCGGAATTTCAGTCCGGACCCTTTTGCAAGCTAGAATAGAATAGTCATACCATCGTCTCCCCCACCGCTTTCCGCTCTGGAACCTCGTCGTCGCGACAACCAGGAACCAGATTCTGCATCTCGCATGTGAAGATCTGATCAGTGAATGTGCACAATGGATGGAACGCAAATCACGCTGCTCTCAATGGCGATAAGAACAACGAGACTGATGGCTGGGGGGACCACGTAACACCGTTTCACTCCCCTCAAGGCACGGCTGGTGAATGGGTACAAGATCCCTTCGGTTTTGCTGGCTACACGTATACTGGTCCTGGCTTCCGTCTGCCTTTCTACATAATATCTCCTTGGACACGTGGTGTGAATGTGTACACGGAGCACTGTGACCACAGTAGCCAAATTCTCTTCCTCGAGAAGAGGCTGGCAGCGAAGGGCAACCCTTTCACGCAGCACGAGATGAACACATGGAGAAGAGCAAACATGGGAGATCTTACCAGAGCTTTCGACTTCGAGCATCCCGACTATTCTGTTCCCAAGATGCCAAACGCCAGCTATCCATCTACTGATAAGAAAGGTAATTGGAATGGCTACTCAGTCTGCGAATCTCAACATAAGACCACAAGGCCTCCAGTCCCGTATGGCATTCAGAACGAGACAACTGCACTGAAGACCGAGCAAGGCTTCAAAGTCATGCGTGGCAACCCGACTGAAGGGCGTTATCTCGTATTCGAGGCGAATGGACAATCTCTCACAAATTCGAAAGGCTTCCTCGTTGGCTCCCAGTGTAAGCCCAAGCATGATGCCAAAGAGCAACGTTTTGTCTTGCACCAGCAAGGGCTGACGAAATTCACCATAACAAGCGCCGTTGATGGCAAAGCCGTCAAAGGTCTTGACGGCATCTACACCATCTGGGACCTTGGGAGAGGCGAGGGGTACACCATTCAGGACACCGCGTCGCAAAAGTATATTGCATTGGACTCGCAAGGCAAAGTCACGATGAGCAAGACGCCAACGGGATTTGCAGCTTTCAGCGTTAAGTTACATATGATCAGTAGACATCGGTGAGGCACCATCATTGATTGAAGGATCGTCATCTCGAATGGGGCTAGACCTGATGCCATCCTGATTACTAAGTTTGTTCCTGACTAGACTTCTTTGAGGTATCAGTATCGGATGACAGTGCATGAAATGTGGAGAACGCGAGAAGGCGAAGCCAAAGACGTAGCTCAGCCGTATGACATAGATTCATCCCAACTCAATATCACAATTTGGAAGCGTCAGGCGTCAGGCATCGCTCGATCACCATTCTTCTATGAGATCCGATTGGAAGCAAGTGATGATCATAGGCTTTCTTCTCTGCGCTTGACAACACAAACATCGCATGTGCGGCTGAGAACCACAGCGATCGCCAGTATGGCTGAGAGCCCTGGCAAACCTTCCCCTACAGGAGGGTCGGAAACTTCATCTGGCTTTCGATCGCTCTTCAAGAAATCGCCGAGTGAATCTACCGGCAGCCAAAGTGAGTTTGCCTGCAGGAACAAGCAGAGCCGTGACAGCTGACCAGACATTAGAAAGCAGCCGACTCAGTCGTATACTGAAGACTAAGAAAGACTCGCCAAGCGGCAATAGTGCTTCGCCAGAAGATGCAGCAGACGGCAAAGATACGAAAAGGAGAAAGCAAGTCTATCAGGCACAAAAGTAACCTCCCTCCTCTCCCAATCCGCTTCGATCAGCTCTGACGTGGCCTTGACTAGACGACATCGTAACCGGAGAGCGGAATATGTCAAACGCCTCGAGGAAGAAGTCGCCCGCTTACAACACATGGACTCACAGGTCAACAATGAAAAGAATGCTCTGGCTTATCAAAACCACATGATGCGAGAACTCTTGGCATCACATTCTCTGGACTTTCGATTAGGAGATTCGCTGAAAATCACGGAAACGCCCGCAGTTACGACCGCGCCAGCGACTGCATCAGTAGAAGTGAGATGGGATTCTGACATTGGGCATGAGCGAACGTTTATGGATCTCGATTGGTCTGCATTCGAAGATGCTGTGCAGGCAACGTCTGCCTCCACGAATACCGAACCGACAGCACAAAGTCCTCTCACCCAAAGAGAACCAGTGATAGGCGATAGCTGGGCAGCAGTAGACTTCATCCTTGCGCTTGAATGGTGCTGTCAGGGCCATATGGTCCACCCACACATCCATCCTGCTCCAACGCCACACAAAGCTTGCGAAGAACAGGACCTGCATGGCCATGCTTTGACTGGAACTGCAGCAGTGTATCAAGGTGCTCTGCCGTCGCACGAAGGAGAGAAGTGGCACTTGCCGCATTCGGAGATCGATAAGTGAGTCCCAGTGACACGTTTCCACACAAGCAGAGTGCATGGCTAACTCGTCTTAGACTTGTGAGATTGAGCGAGAATCTACCTTTGGATGACGAATGGATTACTCCAGCGCAAGCGTACTCCGCAATCAAAGAATCTGTGCCCGAAACAAAGTATCTTCGCCCTGCCCTGAATGCTTTGAAAGTCCCGCTTGCTGCACTCTGCCAGTGCCAGGGCTTTGGAGCTGTGATGAGTAGGAGCGCATTTGACGAGCAGCTGCAAATCGTGGCATCTGGGTTGGTCGATGGCGAGCCTTCTAAGCTAAATGGGAATTCCCAGGTCTAGCTTAATGAAGATGTGAACGCTGTGCTCCAGAGGGTGTTGCTTCGATGCAACAGCACGATCTTCAGCACCATGCTGGGGCTTCGAGCGTGTGCTGTGCGGAGGCTCGGCAAAGGCGGTTCTTACTGTGTAAGAGCCCTTCGTCCGAGGTGCTATTTACCATGAGAACTGCAATAGCTCTCCAAGCGCCAAGCTAAATCGAGGGTATTACGAGAGAAGGGATGGTTTCAGACTGAAATAGCCATTAGCACAAACAATCAGAAATCCGTGCGATCGCGTATATACCATTCAAATAGTCGGCAGCCATGAGCAGCTCCAAGCAAAGCTCCGGCGGAATATCCATATCAGGCACATCTCTCGCATCCTTGTGCTTCTCGTGATAGTAGAGATATTCGCAAACCTTTTCGAGGACAAGACCGCTGTAGCGAACAAATTAGCCATTTCACGGAGCTGATTCCGGATAAGACGTCGCACGGACTTGATCGTGTCGCAATGGTATGTATTTGCTCCGGCTTCTCTGAATCCCATGCCGTCTGTCGTACGTTAGTTAGCTACACGTGAGAAAGCATGTCTCGTCTCGTACTGGAAGAACTCAAAGCGCGTTTGAGGACGTCGGCGATGTAGGCGGCGGAGCGACGGACGATGAATGTGTAGCCATCATTCGAGACCAGAGTCACGTAGTCTGGTTCTTTCTCGGAGGTCATGATGGTGTGTGGTTCGGGACGTGATGTTCGATTGCCGTGGTGGAAGTCGAAGGTACGTGACTGAATAAAGTTGGGACTAGGCAGGGGGTTCGCGCGAGACTGGTCTGTGCTGAATGGCGAGTGCCGTCTGTCTTCAATGCTTCGTGAACTCGTTCTCATTCACTTCACTTCATCTTCCGACTTCATTACGCACATGCTGTGACACCCTAGTGACACAGATCGATCACAGGCTTCTCCGTCACCAAGGCACGTATACATTTGCGGCTCTGCTTTTCGCCAGGCGAGTCCCAGGCGAGCTCCGAATTTGCCCCATCCGCGGAACACCGCCTGCTGGGCAGCATCGTTATGAGGATCACAAACATCTCCTTGGAGTGACTGCCTTCAGCAGTTTCCGACCGCCCAGCATCTGGACTTCACAGCGAAGGTCTTCCATACCCTTCTGCAAGGATATCTTAGCTTTCCTGCACGGTATGTTTTAGCGTGGAAACCCCAGATCTCGAGCAGCGTCGCCCTACTCCCGATATCAGATGGCATGATGTGCACTGCCTATATCACAGTCTGCTGAACAGTGATGAAGCAGTTCGCAAATGCAGCAAGGATTGCTAGCTTTTGACGCTAGAACATTCCGTGACCCGCCATCTTGGATACCGTGTGGAGCTCTTAATGTACATACAATTCTCATCATGAGACGGAATCATACCATGCATATGTAGCTTTTCACAATGGACATCCAAGCAGCAGAAGCAAATGTATTGGAGCTGCAAGACTTGCCAATCCCAGGCCATCCGCCGACCCGGAAAGACTGGGAGGCTTACCGAGCCGTGATCACGAAATGGTACAAGGTCAACTCGTGCACAGGAAGGTGGATATGTAAGACATTGAGAGCAAAGCAATTCGTTGCCAGGTAAGCGGTCCACTTGCAGCATGTCCGTGTCTGTTGTCTGGCATATAGCTCTAGGAAAGATGCTGATGCAATTCATAGCGAGAAAATGCTTCGTGACCGCTTCCGTGAGTGGGGCCTAAATGACAAGAATGTCAGGAGAAAGCCAGCTACGCCGGACAACAACACGCTCGTTGTCAGACGAAGACGTCCATCTGTGGTGAAGCATACGAGATGCTCTGACAAGAACTCTGTGACTTTCGACTTGAAACATGTGGCAACGATTCACCACGGATGCTCGGCAAGACCTGCTGTAACTCCATCTGGCGAAGAGCAGACTCTTCGAGCATTGCGTGCAGTCGCATACTTTCTGGACAAATGTTGTGCAACATGCGATCCACAGATCACGGCCGCGGATCCAATGTGGGAGCTGATGCGAGACTACTGGCAGGGCTTCTATTTTATGGACATTGGCGACATCATTCAAGGTATGACTATTCTCCGAAATGCTGGGCCTAGGGTCAGGGATGCATTGCAATCCAGGCATCCCTCTGCATTATTGCATCCTCTGCAGACACTTTGTATCAGGAAATTTCCAAAGAAGAAACGTGGCCGACTTTCTGGAATGCCGCAACAGCTTCGAGAAGCAGTTATGGTCAACGGCCGACTCCAAGTGATCAAGTGTATGTGGTGTGATGACTCAATCACTGCTGCTCACTTCCATTGCTCTGAATGCCCTGTTGACGACAGCGATATCTGCTTTGACTGTGCTTTCGCGGGTAGGCATTGCTTGCACAAAGCACACGAGCTTCAAGAGCGTGAAATCCACGCAGATACAGTCGTTTCGAGCGGAAGTGCGTTGAGCAATGTGCCGCATCCAAGAAGTCCTGGCCCGGTTTGCAAGGAGAAGTTGTCAAAAGAGCAGAAGCTCGCATTTCAAACTGCTCGTCAAACAAGCTTCGAGGTCATGCCTGTGGTCACTTCATTCCTCATACAGGAATCGGTTAACATTCACGGGCCAGAACACCCTATGACGCTGCTTCTGCGAGCATTTCATGATTCGGAAGAAGTCGACGCTCTGTGCGACGGGATTGTCAGAATTCTGTGCCACAGGTTCTTGAACGCCTCATGTATCGACTCAGAGGCTACTGTCAGGCTTCTTCATTCATGCGCCTGGATACTCCTCGAGCAAGACCAGCACCATCAGCTCGAACAGCTTTACGAGCAGTGGAAGTCGCAATCTAAAACTGGACTTTCATGGGACATGATGCGCATTCTGGCTTTGTCGAAGATGGAGCAAGGTCTTTTCGAGGACGCGCAAATATACATGCTCAGTGCTTGGACCAGTCTTTGTGAGCGTGGACAACCAATGCCCGACAGGTGGCTCAAGCTTCTCGGAAACAGAGCTTATCTGAGCCTGCTCATGGGCAGACTATCCGAATGCCGAGCAGATCTGGACAGAGCTTCGGAATTTCTAGACTGCAACTCAGACACTCCATTGTGGCACCGAAGCAACATCAATCAGCTCTACGTCAAACTGAAAATGCGCGAAGAGATCACCTGAGGCTGAAGGGATTGCTGCCCAACCGGGTAACGAATCTTGCTCTACGCATTTTCTGGATACCAATCAGCTGGATATTGCTCTCGAAAACGGCATCTCGTACTAATGTCATCTGAAGACTTGCTACGCGAGAGAAGACGAGATCGACAACCGCTAGATCTTGAAACCCGTGGTCTTGATTTCCTTCTCAAGACTCTCGCCAAAGTCTGTGCTAAATCCGTGTTCAGCCAGATATGCACGGAATTTAGAATCCTCATCCTCAAGACCCCGGGATCGATCTGGAATTAAGAACCACGAGATCAGCCCGCCGACTGCCGCGAATGCAGCGCCGATCAAGAAGACCGCCTGCACGCCTCGAAAGTCATCCGAGAACGAGTCTTGAATCGGCGTAAAGACTTCAGTGCCGATGGCAGCGCCTGCCTTTCCGACCGCTGCGGCGAGCCCCAGGAAATGTCCTCGTACCGGTGTTGGAAATGACTCGGCGCCACAAAGAAATGTGGCAACACCGGGGCCCATCTCACCAAAGGAGTTAAACAGCCCGTACAGCACGATGAAAAGCGGGAATACTGATTGAATCGGACCCAGCGCGCCACCTAGGATGAAACCGAGAACTGCCCAGCAAGCGAAGCCAAGTGTCATAGTTTGCTTGCGTCCAATCCAGTCCATCAAGAAGCCTCCGACAATGCACCCGGGCAGGTAGAAGCAGTTCACTGCTGTTCCTAGACCGATGTTTTGGATTAAGCTATCATTCGGATTCAGCTGCCCGAGGATGGTGGATGAGAACAGTCCGAAAGGGTACGTGACAAAGTCATAGAAGAACCAAGCCAAACTGGTCCCAAGCATAGGCTTCCAGTAACGCTTAATGACCAGAAGATATGGGATCTTCTTCTTCATAGCATGTTTACGATACTGCGTCGATTCGATCTACGCGTAGTCAGCATGATGCTCGCATTAGGCTGGGACCCATACTGTCCTACCATTCGAATTCGAAAGAAGAATAAGACCACCGGCAGCACGAATCCCAGACCAAAGCATATCCTCCAAACGCCCTCAGAAGTGCGATAGTTGTACGCAGCAAGCACAATTAGCGCTACACAACCCGCAATCACAAAGCCAAGATCAATCGCAAAATCGGTCGAAATTGCGACGAGAATTCCTCTTCGCTTGCGGACGTAGTGAGTCTCATCGGAGGCTTCAGTCGAACCAGTCCCACAAACTGGATACTCTCCGCCCGCTCCAAACCCTGCAATGCCACGAGCTACGATCATCATCCAGAACATACCAAGCTGGGAGTATCCGTGAGCGGCAGTGGCCAGAATGATACCGAGCACTAGGAAGAACGTGGCGAAGACAATTCCGGTACGCCTCCCAATCTTGTCAATTACAAAGCCGAAGAAGAGCATGCCGAAACTTCTGGGACTTGATTTTAGCAGACTGCGCAGTAAAGACTTCGGCTTTTCTCGATAAGAGAACTCACTCGCCGATCAGATATGAGTTCGATAATGTAGTGCTGATTGTGCTCGACATTCCATCTTTATAAAGGTCTTTGAAAAGTGGCTTCATGTATCCGATGATCTGAGCATTGTACCCGTCACTGAAGAGAGCGAGACCTGCGACCAAAGATGTGAAGATTGTTGAGATCCTGGAAATCCTCTTGATCTGCGCATCCTGGGCGCTAGCATCCAGACCGTCTTCTGAGGAATTGCTATGCTTCGCCCGGACGGCCTGTTCGAAGTGGTTTTTGGAAGTCATTTTTCACAGCCCTCCGGCAACATCAAACAAAAGCTTAGCGACTTGAGCATCCCGACGAACGATACCTTGTCGGACTGATATACATTGTCACATCTTACAGCTCTTCAATAGGCAGGTATACTGCTCCTTGCTGCCTCACACGCTTCGATACCAATGCCGCAAGAACGTGGCCCTCCAAGGATCAACACGCTCGCATGTCAACCTCGTGCGGCCTGAGTACTACGTCGCATCAGATCCAGTCGGCGAGAACGGCGAGGTGAGTTCTAGCCAAGCGACGCATTTTGTCGAGCAGATTTAGGCTGTTGTGTGCGACGCCTCGTGCTCGCATATCAAGCCCCAATTCATCCGCTCCGAATTTGGATTTTTGCTGAGGACGGCAGGGGGGGTAAAGGATTCGCTTCACGTTTCTCAACCCAGGTACTATGTACTGCGTGGAGAAGTCTATAAGTTACAAGCTTTCGAGTTCCTGGAGCTTGTATAAGACGGCAGACCGGGGTTCGCGCCGTACGCCGATCATTTAAATGGCCGCGGCGAGGTCAGCCAGCCAGTATTCCACGAGTCTTGATCTATTGAACGTCAGGACTCAGGAATATGACTATAAGCAAGCCCGACGATACGATGATGTGGGAAGAGGCACCGTAGACGTTACAAGTCGCCAAACTCATCATGAACGAAGCATCTTCCCTCCTTCTCGAAAGCCACGCCCACCTGTCTTGGATCTTTTCGTAGGGCGGTCACTGACTGTCGGTGGCATACTCTCTCTCTCAAGCCAAGCCGACTAGACCATTCGCACCTCGCTGTATCATTACACGAAGACTTATTGCGCATCGATGTGCATTGCAGCGTTTTTTTTTTTGGATCCCACGAAACTTCGCTCAGGTTCTATGCTGCTTCATAGAGATTTGGCCTTAGCAACCCAACTTGAGCGAGTGAACATCATAGGCAGCGTGCTTAACGCAACTGTCTCCTTTTCTTTTTTCTTGGGAAAGAAGACCGTAAGCCGAATCTTTTAGTCGTGCCGAAAAATTTGCACCTCGTATACAACCTAGACAGTAAAAGTGAAATTATAGGCCGTAAAAAGAAACTTCTAAATAGCATTAATTAGACTTAGCTATACGATTAAGGAAACCAAATGTATATCTCTAGCAAGATAGGGTTCCTATCGCTAAGATATGCTTAAAGAATATCTAAAGAAGTAAGTACGTAAAATATACTAACTAATACGAAGTATAGACCGTTCTATATACCGCAGGGGTTAGGCGGATAGACATATATTTAAGCTGAAATAACGATAACTTATTGCGATAGAAATTTTCTTTAAGTAGTAGTAATTCTAAAGAGGCTAAACTCGTAGTCCGCTTTAATTTGTTAGTAGTAGCTTGTTTAATCTAATAGGCTTCCTTAAGAGCACTTACTATACCATACTACTATATCACTAAACGGATAAAAGCAAGCGTTTTACCGATAACAATCCTTAAAGAAGAGATCCGGAGATTATTAAAGACTAGAATCGAAGCTTTATACATGTCTAGCGCTAAAACTTTTGTTGTAACGACTTCGTGTCTCATGACACTCGTAGTCACCCTCGAAATATATTTTTGGAGACGCGCGTCTAGAAATCAGTCTGGGGGGGGGGGGGG